ACAGGCCACAGCCCCAAGGCTGTCTGGCTGGATGAACTACTGGCCTTGGGCAAAGGCTGGGTCTAGGGTAGAGGTGGGAGCGGGAGAGGGATTGGGGGAGTAGAAGAATTAAGAATGCCTGGGAACCAGCTCCAAGGGTCTTCCGAGCCCCTTTTCTGCCCTTAGGTTTCAGATGTCTCTAGGACTAGCTTGGCCCTCAAAGGGAAAGTGGAATACGGGTACAGCAGAAGAGAATGGGTACCTAGCACCCAGTGTCTGGTAGCCTGACCAGGAACATGACTGAGGAGAGGATGCTAACCCAATCTCTGGGGGGCGACAAACAGTGCCTTCTCACTGCAGAGTTCACACGGCACTCCCAGGCTGGTCTAGGGGGCAGAGCAAACCCAAACGTGGTCCAGATTTCCCCTGGTTGTTTCTGTCCAGGAGCAGAGTCCTGTCCTTGTGTGTGAAGCAGAAGTCTATGCAGGGCTCTGCAGCTGCACCCTGGCTGCTGGCTGCCCCCACCCTGCTAGGGACGGGGTTGGGGGAGGGGAGCCACACTCCCAGGCTGCTCTCTCACTTAAAGAGTGCTTACACTCATGGGGTCCACCCTGGCCTGTGGAAAGGATGCATCCTTCACCGTGTGTTCACTCTGACATACATGCACAGACAGGCCTTGGTCCTCTGCAGCTCTGTCTAGTCCTCCAAGTCCTTTGTTACTCTTGTGACCCCAGATGTGGAAGAGTTTTACAGAATTGGTCCAGCTGCTCACATGTGCCCACTACGAACCCTCCAGGGAGCTCAGCTCTTAATCCCAGGGGCTCTGCTTACCCTCAGCCCTAACTTTTGTTAATGAGTCAGAGCCCAACTCTCACCGGTCCTGGTTTGGCTCAAAGTTAAATAAAACTCCATTTTTTGAGTAATAGCATTGTTTTTTCCAGCACAAAACCCATACACACACACACACACACACACACACACACACACACACAAACTAAAAGATCTTGGAAAACTGAGATTTTAAAATGTTTGTAGTGGTAGGAATTGAACCCAGGACCTCATTCTTGCTATACACCGAACTATAACCTCTCACATACAAAATCCATTTCTATTGCACTAAGAGGAATAGTGATGAGGTTACCAAGCAACATTCAAAAAAGTCCTTCACCAGCAGCTACAACCCGGAGAGACACTCCAGGAAACCCACTAAGTGCAGAAAAGCATGTGTGAAAGAGATCACGAAACATTAGTAACATGTTAATTCTTCCCAAATTATTCAGTGTATTTAACAGGATTGCAATGAAATTCTGAACAGCCTTTTTTTTTGTCAGCAACTGGCAGGCTTACTCCAAAAATTACTTGAGAAAATAAACTCAGAGTCAATTTTGGAAAAGATGAAACACACACACACACACACACACACACACACGCATGCACGCACGTACGCGCGCGCACACACACACACACAGAAGGCTTTGCCACCTGTCTTCAGGACTTGCCATCAGTCCCCAGTCTTTGGTCTACATCCACGGTCAGCACAGATATGTGTGCTGACGGACCAGGAGCCTGGGTCCAGGTAAAGACTCACACGTGTGTGGCCAACTGATTTTGCACAATGGGGCCATCTTTTCATTGAATGGTGCAGGGGCAAATAAATCCTCATATGGAAGAAAGAAGCCTCAACTCTCTCCTCTATTTGTCAGACGAGACTATGCAACCACTGCCTAAGGAGAGAAACAGACCGAGCATCGGTGTGGTGTGGTGGAGAAGCCGTGAGGACACAGAGCCCCACGATCCCTTTCCTCCCCCACCTTGATAGCCGATCACGAGAGGGACACGCACTCCTAATTCTAACACTTGGCAAGCTGAAGCTGGAGGATTGCCATGAGTTTGAGGCCAGTCTGGTGTTCTACGGTGAGTTCCAGGCTAGCCTGGGCTATAGAGACTCTGCCTCAAATAGAAAAAAAAATAGAAAATAGATACACACACACACAAGAGAGAGAGAGAGAGAGAGAGAGAGAGAGAGAGAGAGAGAGCTCACAACTAGGTAGGAGATACTAAGCAGACAATTCACAACTCTGCCATGAAAGTCTGAGAACTAGGAGTCCCCAGGCCTCAGTGCAGTGTGGGACAGTGGTTAGCTCCTGGAACAGATAAAAGACACCAGGGTAAGCCATGCTGAAATCCAGGCAGAGAATGGGGTTTGTTAGTAATATAAAAATAAAATAGCTTTCTGCTCAGAGAAGGCCTAATAAGCTTCTTACAATAAAAATATTTATGCTTCAAGAAGTTAGAGCCACATCTACTGTCAAGAGAACTGTATGACAGTTTATGTGAGGAATGCCTCAAACAGAATACTGGCTAAAGCAACTGGTGCCCCCGTGACGTCACACCGCAGACAAGAATGAGACACATTGTTGCACACACCACCAGCTCTCTGTGCACACTTCAAAAAGTTCACCCTGTTGCACCAGTCTCCCCCAAACCCAAACTGAATTTCATAAAGCTGACTTCAACTCTATCTCGTGTCATACACAAAGGTCAACTCCAAACCTATCACATGGACTTGGATGCTACTTGGTGGCGTGATGCTTGCCTTCCACGCACAAGGCCCTGGGTGTCATACCATGCTGCAGAAAAATAAAATAAAAGAAACAAACAAATCCATATGGAGCTAAATATACAAACTATATATGCTAGAAATATGCAAACTAAATATACTAGAAAGAAGCATATGAGCAAACTTCCCAGCTAGGAGGTAAAATCAGGGGCAGGGGGAAGAGCTCTATAGCTAAGAGGATCCTGGTTCAATTCCCAGACCCAAATGGTGCCTCACGCTGTCTGTAACTCTAGTTACAGGGGATCTGATGCCCTCTTCTGGCTTCTGTGGACATTGCATGCATATGTTACACATACAAACACACAGGCAAGACACCTGTATACATACACATTAAAAACTAAAAATCAAAATAGACTTTTTCAAAATTTAAAGCTTTCGGGGGGTGCAAGCCTGTGAGTCCAGCATTGGAGAAGTGAAGAAAGCAAGTCTCTGAGTTCAAGGCCCTTGTGGACAACATAGTGGGACCCTGACTCAAAAAACCAAGATCCAGAAATGTGGTTCAGCTTTGGAGTGCTGGCTTAGCCTGCATGGGTCCCTGGGATTGACTCCCGGCACCAAAAGTAGCAACAACAACAAAATGAAAACAAACAAACCAGCCCATCTTATACCTGAAATCCACCAGCCAGGATATGGAAAGGGGGCTTTGGACAAAGGAAGCACTTACTGTGTTTCCAACAAAGGCGTGTATGATGGTGTGTTAACTGCCAAGCTGACAGACTCTAGAGTCACCTGGGAGACAGGTCTCCTGATTACATAAATTGAGGTAGGAAGACTCGTTTTAATTGCGGGCAGGAACCATTCCCTGGGCAGGAGTTTCTGAGTCTTGGAGAAACTGAGCCCCACACCGGCAAGCATGAATTCATCACCCACTCCGCCCCCGGCTGAGGATGAGCAGCTGCTTCAGGCTCCCACGGCCTTGACATCCCCACCGCAACGGACTGGATGACCTTTAACTGTGAGCTGAAAAAAATCCTTTCTCCTGCAATTTCTTTCGTCAGAGTGGTTTGATCTCGTGAACAGGAACAGACGCTAAGTGTGAATCTTCATTGCATCATATCGAGAAGCTTCACAACCCAGCAAGCCCAAGAGTGGCAACTAGGAGTTACAGAAGAGCTGACCAGAGGGGTCATAGAAGAAACATAAGACAGACATTCAAAGGCGCTCACGGCCAGTACTAGTTAGGGAATCCGCAAGTTAAAACCACGGCACACCACTTCCTCTGCCGTCGGAGTGACGGAGTGATTGTAACGAAAAATGCTGACAGTACAGAATGCCGAGGAGCCCAAGACGGCACGACCACATCCGAGAATGGAAGCAGCAGGCTCTGATGGCGCTAAACTTACACTTTACCTCATGACCCCAGTGTCACTCAAGTCCCACCCAAAGTCTCAGTCACAGCGGTTTGGCTCATAGAAAATGACCCAAATGTCCACTCTGAAATAAATGAAAAGCATAGTGTGCCGGATGACCGTCAGGAGCTAACAGTCGCGATGGTCGGTGGTCACACCAACGGGTCTCAGGGGCATCGTGCTGAGTCACTTCCTGGGTCTCTTTTTCTTGTGTGAAGCTCTGGAAAGGGGCTGGGGAGATGGCTGGGTTGGTGAAGTCACATAAACTGCTGGGCACGGTGGCACTTGAATGCAATCCCGGGCTGGGGGGACAGAAGATCCCTGGGGTTCCCTGGCCAGCCAGCCTAGCCCAGTCAGTAAGACCCAGGAGAGTGAGAGACCCTGTCTCAAAAGGCAACATGGACGCTCCTGAGGAAGGACACGACGGGAGACTGACGTCTGGTTTCACAAGATCACGAATAAGAAACATTTCCACCCCTCCCCCTAACGCCTCATGCAAACTCTGGGAAACACATCTACTGGACAGTCCCCAAAAGTAAGCCAGCTGTTGACCAAGACAGCAAAGCGACATGAGAGAATGTTCACGGAAACCTCGATTTCATCGACAGCGACAGTAGTGTGCGGATTCTTCAAAACGCATCCAGGTGCTCGATGAAGTGGGAGCATTTTATTATGCACAAATCACATACAAATAGAAGTGATTTAAAAATATCCCAAAGGAGACAGGATTCTTACAAAATCCCACGCCTGGCTGAAGCACCTTGGGACATGGGGCCTGACTGGGCAGCTCCCAGGAATGGAGATGGATGTGGGCCTGGGAATGGAGGTAGAATGAGGTAAAAATGACATCCAGTATCTAGCATGTTCTCTGGGTCAGGGTGGATCTCAGGGGAGCCACCAGGACAAGACCACGAGGTTTCAGATTTTGCAGTAGGAGCAGGCTGCAGAATCAAACACTTAACTCACATACATTCCATCCTGGGAAAAAGCTAGGACTCTGTCTCTATCTCTGTCTCTCTCTTATTATTTAAAATGTGGTATCAGGGCCTTACCAGATAGTTGCTTGACAGCCACGGGTCTCACCTTGTAGGGAGTTCTGCAAGAGAGGAGTAGTTGCAGTGAGCGGCTGCCAGAGGCACTGGCTGTTGCCAGAGATAAGCAATCCCCAGGGAGCATTACAATTCAGCTTGGTGATTTGTTTTCTTTTTCGAGACGGAACACCAGGCCCTTGCACATCCTGCACAGCTGGGCCCCTAAGCTGCACCCCAGCACCCCTTCCCCCAATGTGGCTGCTCTGAGTTCTCTCATCCCCGTGCATCTCGTTTTAAAAATCACATTAACAAGTTCCTTTATGATGTTCATACTTGATTAATGAAACTTTGAACCTCTGTCATCGGTATTACTAAGAACAAAAGACACAGTATCAGGTGGGACAAAGGACTCTGACATTCTTTGCCTAATTTTATCCCAAACCAGGGCAAATCAGCTCCCTTTCATTTCTGCACGGGAGCCACCGACCCTGTCAAAAAGGCATCCCATTATTAACCTGCCTGTTTGGAGATGTGCAGAGGACCCTGGTTACTCGGATGGCAGGGAGAGGCTCTCCACTGATGTGAACCAGTGCAGAGACAGGCTTCTGAAGCCAGTGGAAACCAGGCAAAGGTGGACAATGTCCAGTACTAAGAGCTAACCTCAGGGGAAACTGGTTTGTTTGTTTGTTTTTCTTTTTAAACCCAGCAGGTTAGCAGAAGTTATAACCAGGTAGCAAAAGCACTAGAAGGCTAGAGAGACAGCTGCTGGCTGGCTGTGGACTAGCAACGCGGGTGAAAGTTCAAACCTTAGGGACTCGGGTGTCAAGAGGAGGCATCAGAGTCCGGGGACCCTCAGACCTGCGCTGACTCATTCGTTCCTGTTCTGAGAGCCTCTGAGGTAGGAGGTAGGTGAACAAGGCCAAAATGCGTCTGTTATGGGCAATGATGCCCCATGTTCAGGTGTGGGCTTCTGAAGGGAGACGTATTCTGTGACAGAAATACTGTCGTGGTGTTTTTAGGATGGTGACCCATTTGTCATCCACAGTGCTCTCTGGTCTGCATGGAACCTGTAAGCAGATGCCACTGGCCAGACACTGCCAGACACTCAGACCGTAGCAGAGCTCCCTGGCTACATTCCACAGCCTTGGTCCCTGGTCCCCAAATCCTCTCAGCTCAGTTCCGTGGACCTAGTGACGTGTCTTCCGGGACTGAATAAACTCTTGGCTCCAAGTGAATTGAGTTATAGCTTCCTCGCCGTTGTTAATATAATGTAAATGACAAAGCCCCTCCCCCCTCTGGAGATGGTAAGTGGCCTTGGACTTCTGCACTGAGCACTGGTCTTCTTTATGACCCTCGGGGAGGCAGCGGCCTGGCGCCAGCTGGGTATCCACAGGGCACGTGTGCTGAGCAGAAGGATGGCCGTGCAGGCCTCCTTGCCGGGGCCAGGCTGCTCTACCCAGCAGAAGCTGCACGTCTCACAACTTGGCTAAAATCGGAAACCCACGATGTGTTTGTGTTATGTCAGAAATGTGCGGTGTCAATTCTGGGCCTGTCCTCTCTCCATATGCTGCGCCATATGCCCCCCTCTCCTGAAGCCACCAGAGCATCTGTTCCCCTTCCCCAGCAAGAGAGTAGGGGCAGGGTTCAAGACACGGCAGCGAGAGCTGGACACTGCCAAACCTAGAACATTCCTTGGTCAGAGAAAGGGGCCAGGTGGGAAAAGCCCCTCTGAGGGTGAACCTGTAGCTCCATTTGGCCAGGCTCCAATACGTCTGTTCTCACTTATTGGTCCTGAGGAAAAGGCCACTCATCATGTCTTGCCAACTCCAAGTGAGAGCGGAAGCTGACTGGCCTTCCACCTTGCGGCTGTGACTTGGGGTTTGGAACAGGTGTAGAAACACAGCAGGAAAGCATGAAGCCGTGAGAGATGGAGACGGCCACCCATTTGACCAGGATGGAGGTAGCCGGTTAGAGACCTCAGAGACGTGGGGAGTCATGGGAAATCCATGCTGTGAATGGGAAACAGGAAGGTTCCACGAGCTTAGATGAGACCTGGCGCCTACAGCCAAGTCCCTTCTACCAGTGGGAGGCTGGGACAGGAGGAGGTGACCATGTCCAAGTTGAACAGCCGCATGGTCTTCAGAGGTGGGGAAAGTTAAAAACAGACACAAGTGATCAGGCATATAGCAGATGTGGGCATCTGGAATGGTGGGTCAGGGGTGGGCCTGTCCTTTCGGGGTGGGGGAGTGTGTGTGTGTGTGTGTGTGTATGTGTGTGTGCGTGTGTAAGGGGGGTCACAAAGGCCAGAGAGTCTATCCTATACCTTCTGAGAGTGGTACAAGCTGGAATCAGAACAGAACTTTCTGGTCACAGGCTCACACCTAGGTCCAGGGTAATTTCAGAAGCTCCCCTCAGCAGTGGGTTCTCACCCCAGGCTGCACTCTAGAACCCTCTGCAGAGCTTTACAAAGATCTGGGTCAATAAATCATAGAGGAGTCTGGGAGTCAACCAAGTCCTTTAAAAGACATTGCTAATGTTGGGCAGTAGTGATGAACGCCTTTAATCCCACCGCTAGGGAGGCAGAGGCAGGTGGATCTCTGTGAATCTGAGGCCAGCCTGGTCTACAGAGAGTTCCAGGTCAAGTTCCAAAGCTACACAGGGAAACCCTGTCTCGAAAAACAACCAGCAGACCTAGGTCAGTTAGGTCTAAGCCCACAACTGTGTTCATGTCCCCGACTCACCCAGCCTTCTAAATACCTCCCTGTGTCCCCGCATTCACATCCCTAACCCAACACAGCACCGGACACCAGCTCTCCTTCCACCTTCTCAAGAGTTCTGGGTTTGAAATCATGCCATTAAGCTTTCCTGCAAATGCTTCACCAGCTGGGTCATTTTAAGTTCGGTTTAGCCAAACTGCCTGTATGACATGGAGACTACTAGGGACTTTCCAGGCCACCTGCAACAGTGGCATCACTGGCTCAAAGGATCTGTCCCATGTCCTCCTGAGGATACGGACAACTGGCTCCTGCTATCCGACTCGTTTCCGGTGGTAGTCACTGGCTACGCTATCCTTGACCCTCTGCGCCTCAGCCACCTTTGTCTGTGCATAGACTATTCCAGCAAGGGCTTAAGTGGAGGAGACAAAGTCCCCAGGGAGCCCTAGTTCTCCCAGAAGCACCCCTCAGGCTACAGATATGCTCCTAGCCTACTTCCCCCGTGGTGTCTGCAATCGGCCTCCTCATAGGGCCCATACTAAGAATGGAGCATGGCTTCCCAAGAAGGAAGGAGTGAACCCAGCCTCCTCCTTCTGCTTCCCATCTGCCTCTTCCCCTCTCAGCTGAAACTTCACACTTTCCAGCAGTAGTAAACAAAACCAAATTGCAGACTCCCTGGCACATGGCGTGGAAGCATTAGACACCCCAGAGAGAGACGCTTACCGCTCTGAGTTCGCAGGCATGGTGGGATCGATGGAGACCATGGCATCATCTGTGGTCAGAAGAGAGATGGTGGTGTTCCTGCAAAACACTCGTGTCAGGACTGCCCCTCTACACCCTTGCACGTGGGCCTCACCTGACAGAGCACACAGAAACCAGGCCCCGAGAACTGGGGACCAGGTGTCCTGTTGGCTAAGGGCAGCAGGTTATCCCCCACCCTCCCTTAGCAGACCAAATGAAAAGGGTAAATGTATTTTAAGATCCTGCCAATTTTTACATAATTTAAAGTGGGAATTGGAGCAAGGCTAATTTATTGAGTTGGGAGACCGAGGAAGCTGCGGTGCCCAGAACTAACACAGATCAGAGACAGGAGCCACCATTTGCTTATCTGGCTGCCTCTGGACCACTGGAGAGCCCCTGGAGTCAGTCCCAAGGCTCCCCCACAAAGCGGACTTAAACAGTCGAAATCAATTTCCTCCCCAGCTTCTCATCTCTGGGGCTTCTGAGCAGCTGTTACCTCTGCAAGTGAACTAAGCCCTCTGATCCTCAGCTGTGAATTTCTATGACTGTATTTTAATTTGCGTGAATAAGGATGAGCGCATGCTTGCGTGGGAGCATCGGGCCAGAGGTCAACCTCCATGGCATTCCTCGGCACCATCCACCTTCAATCTTGAGACAGGGTCTCTTACTGGGACTGAAAGTGTCTAGTGAGCCCCCCGGATCTGGCTGTCTCTGCCTCCGTAGGACTGGGATTACAAGTGTGTGCTATCACACTGGCTTTTCATGTGAGTGTTCAGGATTGAATGGAACTCAGTCCTCCTGCTCGTATAGCAAGGACTTTACCTGTGGAGCCAGCTCCCCAGGGGCCTGTGAGTTTTTCCAGTGAGGACAACAGAAATGAGACCCTAGTCTCACAGTATAGTAAAGGCAGATGTGAGCACAGCATGTGTCTTACAATTCTTAATATTTGCTGCCTAAAGCTACCCGCGTGCTGGTTGCTTTTACTGCACTCGGTCATCTGCCGTCGCCTCCAGAACACAGCTGCATACAGCTGCATGGCCTCAGTCCCCTGCCTCACTAGTTTGTGGGAAGCTCTCATCACCCGTCGTCCCATCCCTGTCACCTCCACTGACCCTGACCCCAACTTTAAAGTTGTCCCCATCCAACGCCACACCCGGTCGCCTTTCTTTTCTCTTTATTTATTTCTTTAGTTGTCTCTGAGACAGGGTCTCACTGTGTATTCCAGGCTGACCTCTAACTCACAATCCTCCTGCCTCAGCCTGCCAAATACCAGCATTACAGGCACACACCATCATGCCTGGCCTTTGATCACCCTTTCTAGTGGAAAATTAGGTGCTAAAATGAGCCACATGTGCCTTAACCAAAATGCTCAGGACCAGAAGTGTATGGGATTTTTCTTCCTTCCTTTCTTTCTTCCTTCCTTCTTTCCTTCTCTTTTTCCTTTGATTTTAGGCTACCTGAGTATACAGGATATGTTATTACGGGGAGCAGACCCCCCCTAAACACACAATCCATGCCTTTCATGCTGTTTTTCGATTGACACATGGCTCGCTTGAGGTCAAGTGCGGCATTCTCTACTTTTGGTGTCAGGTCAGCGCTAAAACTGTTGCAGATTTTGGAGAACTTGGGGTTTGGGGACTAGCAAGGCTCAGCCTGTAATTGGAAAATCCCCACGCTAGTACAGACTGGATTAGGAGAGAAACTGTAGGGGGGATTCTGAGGATTCGGTAGGATGGGCAACAGCTTTTAAGTCACCTCCGAAACCAGCGTGTCAAATGCTGATGACGACAATAATTGCCAGTGCCTTTGCTGATGAGAGCAAAGGCGCTGGCAGTTATTTAAGGCCGGAGCAAACACAGCCACCTCCTTCCTCAACAGTGTGCGAACAAGCGGGAGGGGAGACCCAGCAGAAAGGGGGCTCTGCTGAGTTTAACCCAGCAGCCGGACGCTGCTGCTGGGGAGGTGGCGGAGCGGTGACTGAGCTTTCTGTGGGGTTTGCCTCACTGGGTTTGAGGGAAATCACAGCAGATGCCTTCTCTGCACTGACCCCCGTTTGCAGCTTCACCCTCCTCTGGTCTATTGTGGGGATGACACAGTCCTCATCACAGAGGGCACAGACAGGGGACACTCACCGGGGCAGGCCGGTGGCGATACAGAACAGGTCCATGATGTCACTGGAGTTGCAGTACTTGCTGAAAACCACCTGCAAAACACAGAAGTAGCCTGGGGAGTTGGCTCGGTGACTCATGCGCCCGCTGTCTAAGCAGGAGGCGTTCAGTCCCCAGAATTCAAGTACAAGGCCAAGTGTTGTCACATGCTTCTGATACCAATACCAGGGAGGCAGAAATAGGAGGATCCCTAGGGCTCCCTGGTCACCCAGCCTAACCTACATGTGAGCGCCAGGCCAGCGGGAGATGCTACCTCAAAAACAAGATGCATGGCTACTGAGGGTGACCCCCGGCTTCCCACATGCTTGCACACACATGTGCATCCACATGCACATGAACACAAGCGCGCACACATGCATTTACACACACACAAAAGCACAAATCAGAGGCAGTGAAGTAGCAGAGCGGCAGCTGGTTTCCATGGAGACGCTGGGTTCCATGTATTGCTTCCTTGCTCTTCAGAACCAGTTACTTTCAAAACTGTGGGCTCTACGATGTCACATGGGCATCTTCCCATTTGATCAGTGTATACGGATTGTGGAAAAGCTTAACCCCTTGGTTAGGTGGAAACAAATCACTGGCCTGCTTCTCCGTGCCTGCAGTGACCGAGGCCGCACTTGGCACAACGCTGAGGATGAAGTGTCAGGGTATCCCAGCACAGCTGGTCTCCAGCCACCTCACAGACTTGTTATGGGGAAAGCAAATTTATACTTATTGATTAAAAAAAAGAGAGAGATTGCCTTTTAGTCTTTGGGGAATGAGGATCTGGGACCGAAAGACTAGATTAAAGGGAGACTCAAAAATGACAAGGAAACAGCTGTGAATTGCTAGTGTCACAGCAAAATGTAAATTGTACGCGCCACGACTGGGTGCCACCCAACATCCAACCCTGGCCCTATGGGACAGCGAGGGCTTGTCTTGCACCCGGCATGGTCTGTACCAGAGCCCTGATGTGAGTGGGTCTCAGCTCTTTCTCACCGGTAGTCATCCTACTACTGTTGCCATCTCTTCTTGTACTTAATAATTAATATCTCTTATAATAATATATTCATATGTATTGTTGTATCATAGATAATAATACAATTACAATAATCTCTTGCGACTAATAATTCAAGCTTTATCACAGCTTTCTTTTCCCCTTCTTCGCTCCCTTCCTTCTCTTGTACTGAGGATCAAACCGAGGGCCTTGTACATCAAAGGAGTGTTTGCCACTAAGCTAGAGTCCCCGCCCCTTTTCGAGACAGCATCACACTGTGTGGCCCAGAACTGAAATCCCCCTGCCCCAGTCTCCAGCTCTGGGCTGCTAGGATCATGGGCACCCCTTAGACCCCACTTTCATTCAATAGACATTTCCCTTGGAATCTTGGGCTACTGTGGTAAATGCCCTCTAGGCTGATAAAACGTCTGTTACTTTTTGATGCCTGGCACAGTCTTTTTTAGCTGAGTTGCTTCTTGCTCTACTTAGAAATGGTGAAACGTAGCAAATTCAGACGACTCTCTCCTGTGAACGTGGCCTTTGTGTGACTAAGGCCAATTCCTGCATGCTGCCAGACCAGCAATGATATAAACCAGCATTTGCTCATGCCTTGCGGATTCCACCCTTTGTACCAGCACCGGGGCTGACTAGCGTCATCCATCTACACCGTCCCCGATGCGTCCTGTTCCCTCCTGAGGATGCCATTTGATCTCGTCTCTGTTCATGCCCTGATTCTTGTAGTAGCCTCCTCTCTGGCTCAATCCCTGTCTCATCCTATCTCTGTCATACCCTTGCCCGGTGTCACTTTTCTTTGCAGGGTCCCTATTAGCTCCTGTCGACCACAGGAGAGATTTAACTTTGCTGGGCATGTAAGGTCCTAGGGCTTATCCCCTCCTAGCCTGTGTCCTGGCTAAGTGTCCCCACTCTGGTCTCTGGCTCCAGCTTCATGGATTCCCCTCTCCTAGGCCGCCTGTTCTCTCTTCATCCTGATGCTTACACACATCTTTGGTCTCTGCTGTCAGCGGGACACACCTTTACCCAGTACCAGCCTTGTTTCTACCATGACCACTCCTGGCATGGCCTCTGAGCCATGGTTTGTGCTGCAAATTTGTTCTCATTTTGCCCTTATTCAGTACACACACATGCCATGGCTGCAAGTCAAGTCTCTTTACCCATCTCTCTAGGCCTCACCCACTTCTTTGTGCCTCAATTTTAAGTTCTGAGGAATGGGCCCACAAGGGCTGTCACCTAGTGCTGGCTTAGCCCTCGGTGATACTCCTTAAGGTTCTACTGCCAAAGTTTTGTGACGCTGAAGAAGTTCAGAGGTCACAGGGAAGAACCACACCAAACTGCAGACCCAAAGAGTGGAGTCCAGACAGGCCTCCATGCCCACCTCCACAGGCTGTCCAGAACTCCCGTTCACTGAGAAACCCCACGGCGAGGCTGCCACGCTCGTCCAGTGGAAGTCACCGCAGAGGACAGAGTGAACCTCAGGGATATCTCACTTTGTGTGTTCCTATCTCCACGAAGACACCCTTTCGTTTCTTAAGCATTTTAACAATTTTAACAGGCAGGTTTTTTTTTAACTGAAATGAAACATTTTAAAATAATATCTGGTTTTTCCTGCCATCCCCGCCTCCTCCCCACATTCGGGAAATTATATTAAATAGTCTTTTCCTTTCCATGGCAACGGAGTTATCTGCAGAGGTTCCTTCAGAGCAGTGGGCGAAACTCAAAGAGCCGGGGCTACCATTGTGGGGTCAGAGCCTTGGACTTCCTCTTGGGGGTGGGGAGTAGCCTGCTTTTGGAGTCACAGTTTTCCCAGTGAAAAGAAACACCTTAGCTTTCGGCGGGCTAAGAGCCTTGCGAGGGTGGTCCTGGCGAGCTTGAGAAGAGGGGTGTTCGCCCAGATTTATAGGAACTGTTGATGAATTGTGAAGGAAAGAGAATTTTTTTTAATGCTTGGGCTTCCAAAGATAGGACAGGGAAGAACTGAGACTTCACATTTGAAGGGTAAAAGTCTCAGCCACAGACAGCGAGCGGCATACGCCTATAAACCAGCCCTTGATAGGCTGAGGCATAAGGATCATGAACTTGAGGCCAACCTGGGCTACATGGGGAGTCTGAGACTTGCCTCAAAAGGAAAGAAAAAAGAAAAGGTGAATGTTTTATTGATATTCACGGGAGACCTGCCCTTTCCTAGATGGAGACGGAAGAGGAGAGGGTTTCAGGGTTGGAGGAGGGAATGGGGGAGAGGGACTGAGAGGTGGATGAGGGAGGCTATGGCTGGGATGTAAAATTAATATGATAATAATAATAATGGTTAATAATAATAATAATAATAGAAAGGTAGGCCTTCCAGCCAATCAAATGGAAGGCCCTGTGGCACCTGTCACCCTTGCTGTTCGTGTGCAAACAGTTGAGCTGGAGCTAGGGCGCCGCCTTTGTTCTGGGACCAAGAACCACCCTCTGACATCATTTGTGACAAAGGCCTAGGGAGGCTGTATAGACATGTGAAATGAGCAGAAAAGATTACATGGGGTGCCTCCAGTAGAAAGCACGTGTGAACCCACATCCCTCCACTCCGTGGCTATGTAAGCTTTTCTGAGGTCTCTTCTGAACAGACTGCAACATCAGCTGAGCAGAAACCTTCTGACATACGGTCATCTCATGAGAAGGAGAGTCACGATTCTTGGTGGCTAATTAGTCTCCAGCAGAGCCAGTGCCAGGAGAGTCTAAGTGGGAAGCGGCAAGAAGCCAGAGGGGACTGGACTCCAGCTGGGTTGGCTGGAGTCAGGAAATGCCCAGCTTGGACCAGCTGTCACTGATTGCAAAAACCAACTGGCTGCAGGATGTGGCCGTGAGACCCTCAGGCAGCCTCCTCGGGAAGGGCACAGGGCTGGCTGTCTAGATGGTGAATAATTGTGTAGATCTTCTGTCCATTCCCCAGAAGCAGACAGCACAAGAAACAAAGAAGTTGAAGTTTAAACAAGATGCCAACGCAGGCAGAGCCACAGGGTTTTATCCTGCCGTCAAGTGTTCAGAGGCAGATCGGGGCTCATAAGCCTGCATGGAAAATCGCCCAAAGTCTTTCATGTGGCTTGATTGGTGGCACTGTGACATTGAAACAGTGACAAGAGGAACAAATGACGAAGTAGAATGCGTCTCTTCACCGGGTATTGGCCCTTCTCTATCTCAGCTGAGACCCGTGAATGTCACAGAGCAGCTTCGCCCGGGAACCCGTCCCCATCCAGTCTCCAAGCCGCCCACGGAAAAGAACACTGACACTTGCCAAGAGTCGGCAGAACCAAGCACAATTCAAAGAAACAGTGGCGCTCGGATGTGTGAGCACCCGTGTGGCCAGCTGGGATTGAGGCTTCATCTCAGGCCACCTGACCTGAGGGTACACCCTGGCAACTACTGACCCTGGTTACTTAGTCTATATTCAAGTCAGCCCCCTGCTTCGAACCTTGTTATAGACACGGGGCCCCAAGTGGCTTCTGGGCCAGAGAAAGGGCAGGATGGCTTCCTAAGCTGGAAAGAGCCATCTTGGATTCTGAGTCCAGAGGCCTCCTTCTTCGGATGAGGCTCTGTCTAAAATGTGTCAGAGTGATCGAGGTTTTCCCTTGCCCCTGAATGTCCCACTCTGAGATGAAGGAAGAAGGTAAGAGGGGTCTCTCGGGTGCCTGGTTCAAACCCCTCATTGTGCTGTCTGTACAAATTGGGAGAGCGTTTCAGAGTGTCAGACCTGATCCCCAGATGACTGACTGCCCCGTAGAACCCAATGGAGCAACACTGATGCTGGCCCACCTTCCTATCTTCTAAAAACCAAAGCAAGGATGAAAGAGCTTCCCGGTCCCCAAGAAGGGCATCTCACCAGGCTTCACACTCCGTTAATGCCACTGTGAATTTCAGTACAAAATGCAGCAGGGCTTGGAGGGGCGCCGAGGAGGAGGCAAAGTGAGTGGTGAGAGCTGGAAGGTTCTGGAGTGGAACCGCCGACGTCTGATGGTTTGTCTCCCGAGTGGGAAACAGGACAGATGCCATGAAGCCACTGCT